GATCCCACCTCCCAGCTAGCTTCCCAGTTCTGTCCGGAACATGACACGCTATGGTATGGAATATCCCTTTGGCCAGTCTGGGTCAGCTGTCCTGGCTGTGCTCTCCCAGCTTCTTGTGCACCTGGCAGGGCGTGGGAAACTGAAAAGTCCTCGACTTAGTGTAGGCACTACAGCTACCTAGCAACAACTACATACATCAGTGTGCTATCAACGTTATTCTCATACTAAATCCAAAACACAGCACTGTACCAGCTACTAGGAAGAAAATTTACTATCCCAGCCGAAACCAGGACAAGTGTCTAATTGGTAATTGAGTCTTGCATAGTGTGAGACATCTGGTTATTTTTGGTTTGCCACGTTAACTACTTAATCACATGGAAAAGCAGTATTAGGTCCGGTACTGTGTAGTTGAGCTCTGGCTTGCCAAAACAGTCCTTTCCTTCGACTTTTTTGCATCTTAGGTTCTTTCCGTCTGAGCGGTTAAGATAAAAAAATGGTATTAGATCTTCTTTAACTCCAAAGAAATGACTTATCAGTAAAGTTCTGCGAAGCTGTTACTGCCTCAGCAGCACCATCCGGAGTGGTTCTAGGGATGTGTGCAGTCATTTGCCTCGTTTCTTTTGATGTTACATGTCTGGGTTTAGTCTGTGTGAACACATTCTTTGTTAGGGATTGCTTTTGTATGGATAACTATGGTTTTCTAAAGGAAATCTGTTGGAGTTTGTATGCACTAAACCATTTTCCTTTCTTTGTAGTTTTTAGCCTTACAAGACTTGACATTACTTTCCCAATATTCCCCTGTTCGACGACAGGAAGTCTTTAGCCTTAGTCAGCCAGGTAATTATAAAAACTATTTCATGTTGCTTTTCTTTTTTTAAAAGTGTTAGTCAAAAGCGTTTAGAAGTTATTTAATGCTGTGAGGTATGCTGCATAAGCCAGGAGGCCTCATCCCTATGGTTCCTTTTCCAAAATGATGCTTAATTATCTATATTCATATTGTTTCACCTACTGAACTCAACAAATTCACGTGCCTGTTGTTTGATTTAAATGACAGCCATGAGAAACACAGGTCTTAGGCTATTGAAAGCAGGGTCCTCTTGACACCACCAGTCAAATAGTCCGAACTGAATAATCTAACAGATGTGTATGAAAGCCTAATGCTGAGGTGTGAGGTGAAAGGAAGCACAAATAGTGAGTCACCACTAGAGTTGTGAAAGCAAGCGATGGCTATAATTTCAATTAGTACACAAGCCTCTTGCTATGTGCAAAGATGTGGCAGAGAAGGTCAATTAAAAGTGTTCAGAAGCCTTCAGGAACTTCTTGTTACACCTTATCAGGAATTCTAGTGTTTGTACTACTTCAAAACTGTTTGTCATCACCATTGATATTACTTTGTTCACTTCAGTTGTTTAGTGATTTCAGATCTGACGGGCCGAACTGCCTGTGTTGCTTAGCAGGTTTCATTAAAGTCTCTAGAGTTACCCATTGACAGGAGGATCGAATCTCTCCATGTTTTTCATCTTTCCCTCAGTACAAATAAACTGTCACAGTGAAAATGTGTCATCTTAGAAATGGAGTGGTACTATAACTTTGAAGTTCTGTTCTGTCAGAACAGATACAAGGATGAGCATCTGGGTTAAACATACCTACTGCATTTCCTTTTTGTTTGCATCCTGCTAGGTGGGCACCCACACAACTGGACTGCAATATCAAGGGAGTGTTTGAGTCTGCTGAGTGATCTGACCCAGAGGCTGATCACACAGCAGGAAGCTGCAGCAGCAAATGGGAGAGCAAAGCAGCCAGCAGGAGAGCTGAAAGTATCTCCACAGACTCCAGGTATTTGAGGAAACACTGAGAATAGTTTGTAAAGCATGAAAGAACCAATAGATTGCATAGGTACATTCATCTCAATTAAGCTGTATGAGGAAAATGAGTCACAGGGTTTTCTGCAAATAAATGCAAACAAAGTCTCTCCCCCGACTTCATGTTACGTGTTCTTGTTGAAATAATCCAAAATAACTAGAAAACTTGGAAACGTCACGTTTACTCAGTTTGTTTACTCTGCGTGATGTTATGTTCGATAGAGTATTTTTTCCACCATTGCATGAATGAAAAAAGTCTAATTATTACCGTTTCTGTAAGTGGTTCAACCTAGTACAGGGAGAACTTAAGTCTTGCCAAGAGGTGCTTTGCAATTTGCATAGCTGGTCTTACGATTAGTTTAAGATGGTAAAACTAGTTTCTGTTTTGCTGTTGTGGGAACTTTGAATATGTTTGTGTGATTCACTAATATCGCTGTATAATAAGAAAAGCCAACCTGACTCTTGAGCTGTGTGCAGCCTGCAAACATTTCGGGTGTTTTACATGCCAGACTTGGGCATCATTCCTGGCAGCAGAGCTGTGTTAGCACAAGGGCTGCCAGGTAATTCAATCCTTAGCAGTCGGCATCCAGGATACAAGTGCCTGGCAACAGCAGGGGACTGTTGGTATGTCAGAGGTGAATTTCTTCGAGTGCTGCCCTTCCTTGGATTTTGTGACTGATGTGTCTCTTCTTACATACCAAGCAGAATCAGAAAGAGTTGCCGTTCTTCTATAGGTAGCCTTTTTTCTAGTACTTAATCCTGAAAGCATGCTTTTTGTAGCTATATATCAGATATATATCAGAGTGTAATAATGCTAGCTAGCAAAAGGAGAAGAATAAATAAATCCACAGGGATCCTTCTCATCACTTGCTGTTCTGAAGCTGATGAACTTTTAAAACACCTCGTGCTCTTCATTTACTTGTTTGCAAAATCACAGTAGAAACCGTGTCCTTTAATAAAAGCTCTAATGATGGAGAGGTGGTTGAAATAGCAATCAGATAACAAATCCATCTTTTATTTCATATGTGCCAGCCTGTTTGTCTTCATGCAGTGTGTTCTTTGTTATTAGGAGCTGCTGTGACAGAAGACATGTCTTTCCAGTCACAGAGGTCTAATATTGTTCCCAGAGCCTCCATGTCTTCACTGGTTAAATCATCCCTAATGCCTTTAAAGACATCGCCTGCATCTGATGTTGGTTCGCCTTTCAGCTCGCCTGCTTTAAATTGCAAGATGGGAATTCTGGATGTAAACTCTCCTTGGCATGGATCAGTCCAGAGTCCTCATGTTTTGAGAAGGGGACCAAAGCTGTGGACATCAGGTTCAGGTAGAGGTTTTTCCACGGCACTGTCCTTAGCCTTGTAGTCACAAGTGCAGTAAGCATGTCAACAGAGATCTGTATCTTGAGGATTAAAGTGACAGCAACCAGTTTTTCTGAAGATATCGTATTTCTCTTGCAGATCTGCAAATGAATGGTTCCCACCACGAATCCTTCCCAGTGCTGTCTGCTGCAAGAGTTGGCAGTGAGGCAGTACAGCCAAGCTTTATTTACACATGGCTTCAGAACAAGCAAGAACAGGTAGAGTAAAAGTTGCAGCACAGATAGGTTACAGCCAGTGCAGCTTAGGTGTTCTCTCTTCTGAAAGAACTTTCCAGTTTTGTTAATGAATGCTTCCTTCTCCAATTAGCTTACATAATAAAAATCCTTTCCCCACCCCCCAATCCCTTTATACTCTGAGAAGATGGTAGGGTTTGGGGACAGCCAACTGTGCATACCTTCAGATCAGTACAGATTATATTTTTAATCTTTTGTTTCTTTTCAGATAAAAAACTTTTTGTCAAAGCGAGTGCTCATAATGTATTTCTTCAGCAAGGTAATCTTGATCTTACATTTTGTGACTGAGCAGCATGGCCTAGAAGTGCATGAGCGTATGAGGGTTCTGCGTGGCACTCTGCACCTTTTGCATATAGTGACAGTTCTAAAATCTTTCTTTTAATCTAAGGTTTTCCATAAGTACAACTTTGTACTTACTGTGACTTTCATAGCAGGATTATCCTGTACCTGCATAAAAAAGAATAATAATACTTGTTTAAACTCATCTGGTTATAAATTGCATTTTGCTTAAAGCATCATGTGCTAGTAAAACACTAGTGCACTTATCTCAGTACAATGCAATTATCTCAGTATACTAATTGTAAGATGGCATGGTTTCTAGTTAATTTTAAAATTCAGTTAACTGCTTTTTGTTAGGTCAACATACCAAATAAATTATTTATAGTTTTCCTTTGTGGGAGAAGCGGTAGCTAGAATGTTGGGAATTTCTTCTTATGAAATACGGGTGCTAATATTACTACTACTTTCCAGGTGAACTGTAATGCTTAAACTAAACTTGCATAGTGTTTACACAGAAAAACAATTGGGTATTTCTCTTAGCATAATTGAATAATAACTCAGTTATGTTTTACAGGAGCAGCCCCCTCTAATTTAGCTCTTTGTTTTTCAGGGATTTAAATATTTCCTGCAAGTAGAGATCATATTTTTATATGCAGATCTCTTCTGTGTATGTGACAATGGTTTATGCTTACATGTACAGCAGTGTCACAGCTATGGCTTTTTGGGCAGCTCCCGTCCAAAAAGAATTTTAGTTTCTTAAAAGATGAGACTTTTTTTCTGGGTATTCCCTGAGATCTGTCAGCCTTGCAGGTCTTTTCTGAGGTGAGGGACATGACCCCATCAGATGTGTAATACCTTCATTGAAACCTGCAATTTTGGTGATATGATTTATAAAGTGCACTCAGAATGCTTTGATTTCTCCTCAGCACCCAGAAGCCTCCATCCAAGCTGTCTTCTCTGATGCCCAAATGCACATCTGGGCTTTGGAAGGTAAGCAGTTTCTATTCCCAGGTGTTAGGTAAGCGGTTTCTATTTCCAGGTGTTGGCTCACAGAACTACAACTAAAAGGATCCGATTCCAGGTTTCTGGGGCTCTGTGCTTTATAAATATAATGGAAAAAAAAAAAATATCTTTGAATTTATTTTGACAAAAGCCTGACTGCGTTTCAGATACCAACGTGAATAAAGGTTTAATTCACTTGTTAGTTTTGAGATCCCATATGAAATCTCTTTGTTTGGTAGAGATTCCTAAACTTGATTTTTGTCACTTCTCTCCCATGTGAAACCATGTAGCACTTAGACATTTATTTTTTTTTTCAGTAACAGATTTATGATGTCTTTTTACAACAGTTTTTCTGACTAAAGGCTCTGAGTATTTCTCTGTTAATCACAGAGACTTGAGGGAGGGAGGCACTCACGTAGTAACTTAACAAATAAATGGAAAAAGATGGTCTGTAGAGAATTAAAAGAACAGTGACAGTATGTGCTTGCACTACAGGATTTTCTTGTTTGTTTCAAATTCATGAGCAAACACTGGTATTGATATAATCTTTTATTAGATTTGACTGTGCAAAAGTTGATCTTTTTCTTAGGTTTTATGGGCAGATATGCCAGGCTGTGTCAGATTGATGGCGATGAGTCAGGACGTACAGAGTCAGGTGATGGGAATCACACGTACAGTTTGCATAAAAGCAGAAGATACCACTTGTGTTTTAACTAAGGGCAGAGGGCTAGGCTGTAATTTTTTTTAAAGTACAGAAACAAGTAAACTGAGAAGGGATTTAAAGCTGAGTCAAGGTTCCCCTCAAAGTATTAGAGTTCTCTTCATACAAGCTGAACAAAGAAAGTGAAGTGATCTGGAAATGTTTGTGTACAGCTAGAAGAATTGTGAAATCGGTCCTGTCTCTTGGTTGACGTCAGGTACAGCTCTG